ATAGCTCCCATATATAGTTTCGTCCGATTTTATGTAAATGGTGCACCAAAGTCCCTGTATATCTTTCGATTTGCACGAAATTTGGCACAGTGTACGGAATTAAGTCTGGAGTGGAAATCGGTTCAAATTTAGATATAGCTCCCATATATAGTTTCGTCCGATTTAAGGTAAATTGTGTACCAAAGTCCATATATATCTTTCGATTTACACGAAATTTAGACATAGCGTCCTGAACTACGTCTAGAATGATGTGTGCTAAGTTTCATGGAAATCGGTTCAGATTTAGATATAGCTCCCATATATAGTTTCGTCCGATTTTATGTAAATGGAGCACCAAAGTCCTTATATATTCTTCGATTTGCACGAAATTTGGCATAGTGTACTCGATTAGGTCTAGAATGATGTGTGTTAAGTTTCGTTAAAATCGCTTCAGATTTGGATATAGCTCCCATATATATCTTCGTCCGATTTAAGGTAAATTGTGTACCAAAGTCATTATATATCTATCGATTTGTACGAAATTTGGCATAGCGTACTGAATTGAGTATAGAATGATGTGTGAAAAGTTTCGTTAAAATCGGTTAAGATTTAGATATAGCTCCCATATATATATTTTCACCCGATTTTAGGTAAATGGTGCACCAAAGTCCCTGGAAATCTTTTCATTTGCACGAATTTAGACATAGCGTCCTGAACTACGTCTAGAATGATGTGTGCAAAAGTTTCGTGAAAATCGGTTCAGATTTAGATATAGCTCCCATATATATATATTCATCCAATTTTAGGTAATTGGTGCAAAAAGGCTCTGAAAAACATTCGATTTGCACGAAATTTATCATAGCGTACTGAATTAAGTCCAGAATGACAGAATGTGCAAAGTTTTGTGAAAATCGGTTCAGATTTAGATGTAGCTCCCGTATATATTTTCGTCCGATTTCTAGTTGCACGAATTTTGGTATAGGTTACTGAATTAGGTCTAGAATGATGTTGCTAAGCTTCGTGAAATGATTCATAGCTAGGCCGATTTACACAACGTACTGAAGTAATATAAATTAGTCTTTGGCAAGATTCCCTGAAATCGGTTCAGATATAGAATATACCCAAAGTGGTAAAGGGTGGTGAAGGGTATCATATAGTCGGCCCAGTCCGACTTTACTACTTTTCTTACTGGTTTATAAATGAATCGGTATTTAAAGCACTTATTTAATATATTTTTTTTTTCAATTTTGAGCCAAAATGGTCGAAAAACTGTTTATGATTCACCCATTGTTTAATAATATTAAATTCTAAAGTGCTCTCCTGTAAGTTCTTTACAATTGCGAAAAGGTCCTTGTGAAAAAAAAAACAATTTTATATTTATAATTATTTGGGATAGCAAAAAATTGTTTAATAATTTTAAATTCTAAGGCAGTGCTCTCCCACTGTCCTCATCAGTTCCCTTTTTTTTGTTGGGATATTCAATTTATAGCTTCTTTAAAAAGAAATGTCTCTTGTGAAACAATTTTAATATAGTCCCCAATACAAGTCTTTTAAAATCGTGGTCAACAAGGCATTTGCAGACAACTACAATACATTTTGCAAAAACAACATAGTTACATGTCTTTTAAAATCGACACGCCCACTTAATTTTTTCATAAGAAACATGAATTATCGCTAGTGCCAAATTTTGACTGAATAAACGTACTTAGCTCGATTACATTTTATACCGAGATCGGTTGTAATGTTATTGAAGATTATTCAATGTATTTTTCATATTTGGTTATAGGATTTTTAAGTTATATAAAACAGATGCCGACAATTGGTACATGCTGGAATTATGTACGTTTACCCTATTTTTTGTTTTTCAAAAACATTCACAATTTTTAAGATCCTTGCCAAATTTCAAACCCAATGAAATTTCGAATTATTAATAAATGTACCTTTATTGTACGAGTATTATATATCGGCTGTGAGAGCGTTTTGGTAATCACATGTGCCAGTCAATAAAATCATATTATTTGCTATAGATCCTATATAAGGAATTGCAGTTATTTTCGGTAGTTTTATTGTATAGAAAAGTTTCTTAGAATAAATAATTTTCTCAAATTTCTATAGGTTTAAGTTTTCGTGACGGCTGAGGTCATATAAAATTTGTTCAACTTATAAAACTTCATCTTTTGAATTTAATATTCTTACGTTTCCTTATTGGTATATTTAAATAAACATTTCAACGAATAAAAACTTTAAAATTTAAAATTTAGAATTCTCTCTATAGTATAGACCACAAATGTATAATTACTACTCCTTGACATATGCTAGACAAATTATATTTAAATCAATTAACACTGAGTTGAAATCCCTGTAATCACTTTCAGCAATTGCATGAAAAAGTCACAGTGTCGTAAGCTAACCCCTGATGGTATTTAATAATTGAATTCTGATTAGTCAGATTTGTTAATTGTCCCACTGTACACACAACATTGATATTATTTCTTATTTTATTATTATTATTACAGTTTTTTGTTGTTGTTTTTGTATTCATTTCTGCTGCTCTGTTGTATTCGTAATCCATTAATGAATTATCAAAACGAAATAAAGTAAATAGGTCTCGCCCAAAGCTGAATGTAATGTGCCAAATATAATATAACGTGTGTGTGTGTATGTACGAACATTCATACACACAAATATATCAAAAGGATATACAGCAGCTACTATGAAACATTGGCAACAATTACAAAAAAAAAACACAATACGCCACTACAAAAAAATACGATATTCATCATCATCAGCTGCTGCTGTTCTTGATGGTGGTACGTACGGCTGCTACTTCTGTCGCTCGGTAGGTTGCCACTGACTAAACGACTGTCAAACAAGATTGCTGGCTCATAGAATACAATAACAATAATAACAACAATGCAGCACAATGGTAAGGAGAGATGTTGTAGCAAACAGCACCATTGAAACTAACTCCGCTGGTAAAGTTAAATGGATATGAAGAAAAAAACAGCAACAACAAGGTACACACAGTTACAACAATAACAATGCCGTGGTGCTTTTCTCAAAAACAAAAAAACGAAGAAAAAATCGTTGTTAGTCATATCATTGTATTTAATAATAGCCGAACATATTCATGCACACACACACACACTCTCTCACACACCATTGAGAAACAGCAAGAACAATAACAACGCACACAACAGTTAAGTGTGCTGTGTGCTCACTAGTCAATGGGGTTGTTTACCATTGTTGAGAGAGTAAATATGGGTGAGAGAGAAAGAGTGCTGTAATTCAGCATGGGATGGTACGTAAGAGAAAAAGAGATATCTGGTTTGTTGTTCGATTCTTATCGGAAAGAGATTTGTTTTGTAAAGAGTTGTTGTTTACAAATGGCGTTGAGAGTAACAGGGAGAGCTATATAAATTGAAAGGAAAGCAAGCATTGGATATTATTAAAGGGAAAATTGGCTACGCCTCTTTTTTTGTTGTTAGTCTACGCGTGTGTCTGTGCCTGATCTGGTGTGCTGGTTGCTGTTGTTTCTTTTTCTGGTTTCACTTGCATCTCCATTTAACAATATTTCAGATTGTATCTGCCATTGGAACGGTGATGAGTTAATTTTAAAATTGAGCGCATCGCTGACACGTCTCTGTTGTATTGTGTGTGTTTGTTTTGGTTTTTGTTTTCTGGTATTCTTTCTTGGCTCCTTGAAAGCAATTTCTGTTGTACGTTTCGCGTAAATATAGATGAGCTGGTTTATGTATCGTCGTCACCGTAGTCGTAGTCGTCGCATCTGTGAAATAGCTACCATAGCCGTCTGCTGGTCCTGTACATAACGGCTGTTCATGATACTCGGTCTCGTTATTGTTGTTCCGTGAGATACCGCGAACCGTGGTTGTTTGTAGCTGAGTGTTAAGTGTATATGTGTGTGTGCCTGTATGAATTTGTCGTTGTTGTTGTTGGTTGACGACTATCTATCTGTGTGGTGTTATTATAACGCAAAGGCAACGTAACGTATCTTCCGTTTGGTTCATTGTGGCATTTCATATTAAAAAAAAACGGTAGTGCGAGCAAATTGCTGTAGTGGTGGTGGTGCTAGTTCTGTGTGTATGTGTGTTCGAGTGTTTGTTGGGAATGATACTCGCTGCTCAATATGGAATAAGCTGCTATACATAACAACATTACAATACTCTACCTACTGCTAGCTATAACCGGCAGCTGAATTAGTGACAGCAGCAGTAGCACCGCATCAACATTTATCCATTGGAGGTTCAGTGAAGAGTTTGCCACTAGTGAAATTGGCGACGGCGTATAACAAATAATAAAAATAATAACAATAAGAAAAAGAAAAAAAGTGGATTTATATTCAAAAAAGAAAATATTGTGTTTTTTCTGTGGGTTGACTACTTGATTGGATGATATACCCCACCTCATCGCATACAAAATTCTCCATATAGATTTCAAAGAAGTGGAAGAAAAAAAAACCTATATATCAGTTTCGCTTGGTACTGCTCATTGGTTGGTAGTTAGCCACTTGAAGCTAGTTTGTGATTATATACGGTGCAATAAAGAAATCACAGCGCGCAGTAAAATTTTTTTAATACCGAACGTGGAACGCGGCGGACCAAATTTAGTTTGAACTTCCAAATGGTATTAATGGTGTAGCATTGCCATAAGGAGTTGTAAAACGAAATAATGAAAAAAACCTTAATGAGTGATGCAAACAAAAATGGTATTCCCATGAAATAAATCCCCAAGTCATAAATAATGATCAAAAGAAAAACCAGTTCTAAGGCATGTGGACAAAGCTTATGTAACCAATTAAGTCCATAAAAAGCAAGTGTGCAGAATATTAAAAAAAATTAAACAAATTCTAAAAAGTAGACCTCGTTAAAAAATTAAAATTCTTGTGAAGTGTAATCGTAACCCAAACTATTTTTTTTCTAATTAATTTGTGTTCTAAAAAAAAAACAAAAACTCGCATCGAAATTATTTGTATTATTTTTTGTGTTCTCCACAAAAAACGCCACCAAAATTATTAACATCATTGCTGCAAGTATAGTATGCAAAGTTGTTCACAGTGGATTCAACGAATAAAATGGCCGTTGGACCGACGGAGGGTAAACAACCTCAACCTCCACAAGAGAATTTCTCACCAGCACCTGCCACCGTACCCGTCGTTGTTCCGGCCCATCAAATCATAGCACCCAGCCCCATCTTGGCCATACCGACACTTGCCTTTTCTGCTGCCCAAGTTGAGATCGTCTGTAAAACACTGGAAGATTCCGGCGATATAGAACGTTTGGCCAGATTTCTCTGGAGTTTACCGGTGGCACTGCCCAATATGCATGAAATCTTGAATTGTGAAGCGGTATTGAGGGCGCGAGCTGTGGTGGCATATCATGTGGGAAATTTCAGGTAAGAAAGCACTACATATTAGAAATGTAAAATATGGTTGTGAAGCAAAATTTTTTGGGAATCGGAATTTATAGAATATATCAAAGTTTTTTCAGATCAACTTAGAATTTTTTTAATATGATACTGGGAGATATTTTAAGAGCTTCTTCTGTAGTTAATTTGTGTTTATATCCCCATTTCGAACAACAAAACTTTATAGATTTTGAAAACAATTTCATATGAGCTATATACATATTACTACGATATTATACCGTCGCAAATTTATTTTTTTAAACCAATTTGCGCGATAACGATAACCAATTTGTGCGATAATCCAGTACCAGAAGCTCGACTCGGTTAAAGTAGCTCGTCGATGCCGTTTTATGATGAATAAAACTACGCCTATATTCAAATTCAGATTTTGATTTCAAAGGACATGAACTAGTATATAGGCCGCTACCTACATATATTTATATATGCAAAGGATGAACAAGTTTTAATAAAATCTTTGTATCGGCAGTAAACGGGATCATGTACCGTGAGCAGATATATTTTTTTTATTTATTTTACTTCGTCATTTGAAATTGGAAAGTTTGGCTTTTTAGGATAAATGTACTTAGTACGGTTTGGTGTACGAACCAGTGAGCGGATCAGTATAGTCGGACGGGGATGACCATATGATACCCTACACAAATATCACTTAGCTCCAAGTTTCTGCGGATTTATTTTCCGAGTCTAAGTAATATTTCGTGTTATTTGCACTCTCTTTACCGATTAGAGTTCAACAGCTCATCTGATGCATTATTTCCAAATAATGTTTCCCAGAGTAAAAGTTGTACCAAAATATTCAATTTTTTTTTTTTCATTTTCAACAAAAGAATTTTGTTTCATATGTCCCGATAAATATTGACTTAGTTGGTCAGATCCCCTTTCACGTGGAAAAATTGTGACGTCCGGCTAATAATAAATTGTTAAATTGTTGATCTATTTCATCCCATAATTATCATTACCGAAAAAATAGCGGTCGACTTTAACCATAATCGGACCCTTATGTAAAAATTCATAGCGATCTACGCGACATTTCCGCTCAATAGTGTGGTAACAATATGAGTATAGGTAGACTCCTGTAATTATTAACATATAACTTCCACATCCGAGTACATACAACAATATATGAGGTTGGGGAAAAAGAAATCCACATTTTATATATATAAACTGTAGGACTTTATTTTTACATACTTTGGAATGTCCGATTTGTGTCAAATATGCACCGATTTGTTTCTATTTTAAACGTAACTTCATAATGCCTCTCTCATAGAAGTCCTGCAAAAAACTCTAGTCATCGATTTTCACAATCTTCCCTATATACCAATTTTTTTATCATTAAAAAATTTTGCAATGCAAGAAAAAATATGATAATCGCTTGGCACCAAGCGTCCGGACTGTACGACGGAAGCATTAAAACTTCCCAACTAAGCTGCCAAAGTTTCTGGCGAGTAACTGTAGATGTGTGTGGCCTAGTGTCAAACGGTCCAGTTATTGACAGTAGAGATCAGAATTTAGCGTTTGTCCATATGAAAGCAATTTATAATGCACAGCAGAACCTTCCTGGCCGTTAGTCCTGGTTTGGCCACCGTTTGAGGACCTTTACTGCTCTTTGACCACGATCGTTTTCGCACAGGGTTATCGTATGTGATCCATTTTTCATCTCCAGTAACCATCTGTTTAATGAATGGGTATATCTCATTCTGTTTGACCAAGGCTTCGCAGATGGAAATTCGATCCATCCTATTTTTTTCTGTTAATTGGTGTGGGACCCAAACATCGATCATTTCTCTGATTTTATCGACATTTTCGACGACCGGCCTAATGGATTTCTTTTTCCCAAACTAATAATTGCTACCTATTTTAAGGTCAACCACTCCTTTTGGATATGCTGTCAACATCTCCGTTTTATGTTTTTCAGGATTAGATATATCCCCCATAGAATGCAAATTTTGCAATTTTTCACATAAAAGTCAGGGTCCTTTGACCCGCTAAATATTGAACGATTTGTATCAAAACGGTATGCTTATTCTTTGACCAGATTCTCTTTATCAAATAAAATTTTGTGAAGTTCGGGTCATAATTGCGGTCTGTGGAGCGCAATTATGATCCATTTCATCCACCAAATATTCGCCGATCAGAACCGGCCGGACGCTAAATTTCGTGAAGATTGATTCATACCGGTGGTCTGTATGGTGTTTACAAATTATAAGGAATAGACAAAGGGAAGGACACACATGTCTGGATCGAATCAGCTAGTCGAAATATGACGATCGGTACACTAAAAGATAGATATAGGACCAATATTTCATTCAACATAATTGTCAGCGTATTATAGCTTCCAAGAATGCCCCTGTTAATAAAAATTCCCTATAACTCTTGATAACCGATTTATTGCATTTACATAACGTGGTGGAAAGAACTTTAAGGGACCACCCACCCCCCCTTCTCGAGGTTTTTTTTTTTGATTTAATTCGAGTCTACACTAATTTAAGAATGTCCCTACAAAATTTCAAGTGAAAATCTCTAGAACTCTTGAAGATATAGCCGATTTATTGTGTCAGCATCATGTGACGTCTAAAGGGCTTCTCAAACATTAAACGCGTTTTTTCTCTTTTGTGAATGGCGGGCACGATAACTCAAAAACTAATAACCCAATCGATTCCAATTTTTTACACGTTTCTCTGTTGGTGTACTGCTATCGTATGAACTAGGATAATGCCAATCGGTGAAGATCTTCCTTATTTTTTAACATGGTTTTTGGTAAAAAAAATCGGCGATTTTCCAAAAATATATTTTCAAATGTCCGCCATTTTGTTAATTTTAGAGCGAAGTTAATAATCCTAGTTCATACGAGAGCAAGACATGTACTCTTTCTAACACCGTTGGAATTTTCGGATTCCGATGTTCCAGTGAGGAGTTATCATGCCCGCCATCAAAAATAAGGAATTTTCTTTAATTACAAAAAAACAACAACAAAACAATAACAAATATTTTTTGTAAATTATTTTTCTTCTCTTTTAAATCTTCAAATATATATATGTGCTATGTTACAAACCTTAACAAGCATTGGTATTGATTTACCAGCCCATTGAAAATCTTGAAAAATTAAAATCGAGAATGGGTGGGGTTCCCTTAAACGCGTTTTTCTCAAAATAGTATTTTTACGAATGGCGAACACGATAACTCAAAAGCTAATAATCCAATCCATTCTAAATTTTAACGTGTTATTCTATACATACATAGCTATCGTATGAATTAGAATTAATGTAATAGGTCATCGATTTTTATACCCTACACAACTATGTTGTCAGGGTATTATAGCTTTTTGCAGCCCCAAAAGTTTGTAACGCCGCGAAATATTGGTCCTAGACCCACCTTTAAGTATACCAATCGTCATATCTCGACTAGCTGAGTCGATCTAGACATGTGTGTCCGTCCGTCCGTCTGTCCATTATAATTTGTAAACACGATACAAGCCACAGTTGTGGACAAATCTTCACGAAATTTTGCATGTAGGATGGGTTCTGGCCAATGAAGACCCCTATTGTTTTTGGGAAAGATCGGTTAATATTTAGGGGATGAAATGGACCAAATACTAAATGTTTGTCGGTTTTTCTGGTCGCTCCACAGGCCGCAATAATAACCCGAACATCGTGAAATTTTGCATGGAGAAGGGGATCGGGCCAAAGAATAAGCATACCTGTTTTGATAAAGATCGGTCAATATTTAGTGGGTCAAATGGACCCTGACTTTTGTGTGAAAATGACAAAATTTGTATTCAATAGCGTATATATTTACCCCTGAAGGACACAGACCCGAGAAGTTGATATTATATCCAAGAGGTGTGGTTGACCTTTAAATTAATGCCAATTATATTGTTGTATGTGCAGGTATCTCCGTATTCGTTTATTATTTAGTAACCCATTATCACTCTAGAGAGCAGAACTATAACGCTGATCGCTTTGAAATGCTACATGAGGTTCCAATTATGGTCAAGGACAACGCCTATAATATTTGGTGATGATCAGATAATAATTTTGGAGTGAAGTTTACCGAAAACTTAATTTTTTGTGTTATTTTCGAGTCGATCTATAGACCACAAATGAAAGCCGAACATCACAACGCAACCCACGGTGAAGGGAATCTGGACAATGGCTGTACTGAATACTCGTAATATTCGGAAAATATGTCAGTGTGAGGAAGAGGTGCTGTTTACCTCTAATCGAGCAAGAGGGTGCAAATATCACGAAATATTGCCCAGGCTCGGAATAAACATCCGCAGAAAATTTGAGTTCAGTGGTAGTTGTGTAGGGTATCGTATGGTCGGCCCGTCCGACTATACTGCTCCGCTCACTGGTTCTTACTTGGTTTTAGTAAAAAGGTAATTTTCCAAAAATCTAATTTCGTAGGTCCGTCGTTTTCTTAATTTTGGTGCGTGTGTTAATAATCCTAGTTCATAGCAGAGCCAGACATGCACTGTTTCGAATGCCGTTGGAATTTTTTGGATTCGGATGTTCCAGCGGTCGGTCACATTTCAGCCCTTTTTCAAACAAAGCCAAATTTGTTATTTATTCTAATTGCAGTGTTTTCTATCAATTCTCATCAATAACTTTGTCCTCTGAAGTATTAGGTTTTGATCAATTTTTGGCCGCGGTCGTATAAATAATTATTATAACAAATATAAAATATTTTTTAAGAGCTAGTTAAATTTTGTTATGCATTTAATCTGAATTTCGGTTATTCCGATCATCACGCATAATCGAGGTAAATCAGTAATTAACATCCTGTGACCACTATTCAGATCATATGCCAACTTCTTAAATGAATACCCCAAAATGCCAATCAATTTCTCCTCCCCCCAGTGACCAAAAGTTTTTCTGCTTCCAAATGATTTTAATTATTTTTTAATCACTTTAAATTAATAAAAAAAGAAAATAAATAACTTAAGAAGCAGAGACATATTCACTTCATTCGAAACTAACCCCGAATGAAATATGATCTTTAAACTCTTTAATGAATCTTTCCTGGTTTTTGGGATCAATTTTATATTAAAAGAGGGGCTAACATTTTTTGTGCATAATGAGAAAACAATAACGAACAATAAAAGGAAGACACTAAACCAAATTAAAATAAATTGACAATACAGAAGAACAAAAAAAATCGTATGAAACCTCCAGAACGATATAATGATATGAATGAGGATGAGCATGACAACGATCGGGAACTTCAACTAAATTAATAAACAAAGTGATTAATTTAGCAATTAACATTATGATGGCAAATACCACTCAAACTGACAATGGTCTCACAATGACAATTGTGGTATTGTGTTTTGCCAGTTAGAAATATAACACCGATTTTAAGAGCTAAAAAATGTGATCTGTTTTCTTTTTTCATGCAAATCATTAGTTTGATATGAGTTTGTGTTATACCAGCAGCCAGTCAGCCATCCACAGAATTTAACTGAGGTACGGAAAGGCTTCCGTTGATTTGTTTTCTAGAAACAGAATAAGATCAGATTTCAGGAAAGGAATTTGTGAAAAAATATATGTACATATATGTATACCCTCCATATGCTTAACAAAAAATAAATTTTATTAAAGAAAATAATAATAAAAAAATCGAAATTCTTCATTAATTTCAATTGAGGTTTTATATTACCCATATTGACTAAATTTGTTTAGCTTGCATGCATACACATTTTCGTACATACGATTGTGTGTTTTAATTTATTTGTTAGCCAATACAAAAATCAAATTTCTTGGAATTGAATCTATTTCCAATTATTTCATAGCATGTTTATTAATTTTTATTAAAAAAAAAAACTTCATAATTGTTTATTTGTTTTCAAGTGCTAATCATGGAATATGTCTCAAACAGAAATGACTTACAAATTGTGATTGATTTTTATTAACCACCCTCACTCAAGTATTTTCTTCCTTCCTCCTCCCCTTGAATTCGTTTTTGATATCCTTGGTCATAAATAAAAAAAGTTGTCGTTATATCTTTAAGATGTATATGTGGGTGGGCTTTTGAGGGTGGTTGATTTTTTTTTTTTGGAATATATTTGGGTATCACGTTGAGTACTTGTTTTTGGGGCATAAATAAAGCCAGGGATATTTTTACAGGGATATTTTACAGGAAGGCCCCAAAATACATTGTTTAATTGTTGGAAAATTTATTTTTGAAAAAGTTGTTTTTCAAGAAATTATACATTTACTAGCGGGCCCGGCAAACGTTGTCTTGTCTAGCAATATAGTTGATGTATAATTTTCGTCATTTTAGGTTGGTTTTTATACCCTCCACAGATGTAATACCTTGGTATTTGTCTGAACACACTGAAAATAACATTCGTGGAAAATAAATTAAAATTAAAAACATTTAAATGCACACATAAGATTGACTTCTGGATTTAATTACATTTTACCCAATATATTTATAACACTTCCATTCCCAACATTAAATTAGCTTTTTATCCCTACACGATTTAATATAGAACTTTGAAATTTGCACATACATTATATACATACATACATTTCTACTACTCATAAGATATTGGGTATTGAAATGTTGCATTTTCGTTCACTTTTTAGGGTAGCCCCCAATATTGAACAGAATTACTTCTAATTTAATAATAAGGATAGTACTACTAATACTTCCTAATTCAAATTATCAATATTCGCCCAAGTCTCCAAATATCGCCTATATAATAGTACTCCACATTTTCGATGCTATGGGGGATTTGGGCACGTTTTTAAATATGATCGGCTGAAATTTGGCATATATCCATTCCCATTGAAGTAAGTGTAATGTATCATTCCGGGATATTGAATGGTAAAACACATGTCTGCGGAAACATTTTTATTTAGGACCAAGATTTAATATAGCTCCATTTGCGTATTGTGAAGACGTTGGCCGAATTGGGTTGGCCTAACGTATTAAAAAGATGCCATACATATTTCCCGTTTAATTATCGGCATGTCTGTAATTTTGAACATTATTTTTTCAGAGCATGGACAACTTACTACCACATAATGCTGAAACATTGTCCACACTGATTTAGGGAATCTTAAAAGTGCGAAGTGTTGTGTTTATAATTTCAAAGATATTTACCAACGATTAGGAGAAGATTTGATATTTCTCGTGACACTGCAACATTTTAGGTACTTTAAGGGAACCCCCCCATTTTCCATTTTAATTTTTCAAGATTTTCAATGGGCTGGTAAATCAATACAAATGCTTGTTAAGGTTTGTAACTTTGCACATATATATTTGAAGATTTAAAAGAGAAGAAAAATAATTTACAAAAAATTTTGTTATTGTTTTGTTGTTGTTTTTTGTAATTAAAGAAAAGTCCTTATTTTTTATGGCGGGCATGATAACTCCTCACTGGAACATCGGAATCCGACAATTCCAACGGTGTTAGAAAGAGTACATGTCTGGCTCTCGTATGAACTAGGATTATTGACTTCGCTTTAAAATTAACAAAATGGTGGACCTTTGAAAAAATATTTTTGGAAAATCGCCGATTTTTTTTACCAAAAACCAAGTTAAAAAATATTGGCTTTATCCTAGTTCATACGAGAGCTATACAATCCCAGAGAAACGTTGCAAAATTTGGAACCGATTGGATTATTAGTTTTTGAGTTATTGTGCCCGCCATTCGCAAAACAATGTTTAGAGAAAACCGCGTTTAAAGTTTGAGAAGCCCTTCAGCCGTCACTTGATGCTGACCCAATAAATCGGCTATATCTTCAAAAGTTATTAAGATTTTCAGTTGAAATTTTGCAGAGACATTCTTTAGTCAGTGTAGATTCGAATTATATCAACAAAAATGTTGACCCCGAGAATGGGGGGGGGGTCCCCTTAAGGATCAACATGTCGCTATTATTATTATTTTCAAGAAAATATTCTAGGGCATGGATCTTAGAATCAGAACTCTATTCCGACTGTCTTCTGATTTTCATACTTGCATTTGTCCCAAAATTTATGTGGATTTTATAGTAATTCTTGTATTCTCACAAACAAAAAAAAAAAAAAGATTTTCACGAAACCTAACACACATCATTCCACACCTAATCGAGAACACTATGTCAAATTTCGTGCAAATCGAAAGAAATATATAGGGACTTTGGTACACCATTTATATAAAATCGGACGAAACTGTATATGGGAGCTATATCTAAATCCTGCAATTTGTTTACAATTTAACATGGACAAACAGACGGACGGACGGAATTGCATAGTCTATCTCGTTTCCATTTTCCAGTTACAAACATATGCACAAAGACATAATTCACCATACCACAGTATGGTGAAGGGTATAATTAATACCACTTTCAAATATTTTTGGAGCAAATCAAAACCAAAACATTAAATATCTCAATATAGGAAAAAATGGATTTAAAAGACTTAAATACTGACTACATTTTTTTGCCCGCTAAAGTTCGAATGAATTTTTTTTTCAGTACCTAAAGTTATTGCAATCAAAGTCAATTTATTTTACAAAAAAGCATATAACTGAAATTATTTCAATTTTGTTTTTCATTAAAAAAAAAACAATCAATTAATCTGGTTGAGGATAATGCCAATACTATTTTTTCCACAATGGTTTTGAAAACCAAATATAGACTAATAGTACGTTTACATTTAACCGGATTTCGTTAACCCAGTGGGTTTCAATTTTCAATTCCTTTGCACATATGTCAAATAAATCCTCACAAAGTAGATTAACCCGGTAAAAAGTTCTAATGTATATGCCGTTTAAGGATGATCGATGCTCATTTATGCTCATTGTATTTAAAATTCTGCCTTAAGACGTATTTTATAAAATCTAGAAATCTTAGCTAATTTGAAGCAAATAGGATAAGTTCATTTCATTAATTACATTATTTTATGGTGATTACAAACTAAAAATCTGTTGAAAACAGTTATGTTATGGCTTTTAAAGAAATCAAATCATTTAATTGGCCATATGTTAACAAATCTGAGATTTTTACACCCTTTTCGAAATAAAAATAAAACAACCCTTCTTTTTCGTATCTTATTGTTAAGCAATAATAAGCTTTATTATATTTCCAAAAAAACCTAATTATATAATATGAACATTCTTTCTTCCTCCTTCTGTTTTTTCGTAACGCAGGGAACTTTATGCAATAATTGAAAATCATAAATTTACAAAAGCTTCATATGGAAAATTGCAGGCAATGTGGCTGGAAGCCCATTATATTGAAGCGGAAAAATTGCGGGGACGATCACTGGGTAAGTAAATAATTTAAAAAATTTAAATCTTCGTATAAATTTGCTATTTTGTAAATATAATAATATACAAACAAACCAAACAATATAAACTAATAAACAACTTAAATTACTGAAAAGAAACCCCATTTGTTTTAAAAAGGTCAGGATCTTTATAAAAATAAAATTAAAAAATTGCGTATTTTAAAATATTCAATATTTCCCAATTTGCAAAAAAAAAAAAAAAAAAACGAAACAGTAATTAATAAAGTAAGGAAAAAAGTATAGCATATGTAATTCAGAATTTTTTGAATGGTCCCATTTATATCTTCTGTCTATTTATATCTTCTGTCTTCAGTTACTGACTTTTTTCCACTAAACAATATCTGATTTATTTTATAGATTGATATTTTCATATGTTTGTGTATTTTAGTATCAATTTAAAAAAATTGCTTGTATAATTAAAATACAAAATTTAAAATTTTCTTCTGCTTCCAGGTCCCGTAGACAAATATCGTGTTAGAAAAAAATTCCCCCTACCGCCGACCATCTGGGATGGTGAACAAAAAACACATTGTTTTAAAGAACGCACACGAAGTTTACTGCGTGAATGGTACCTTCAGGATCCCTATCCGAATCCAACGAAAAAACGTGAATTAGCCAAAGCGACCGGCCTTAATCCCACCCAGGTGGGGAATTGGTTTAAAAATCGTCGTCAGCGTGATAGAGCGGCGGCAGCAAAAAATCGGTAAGTTTTCAGTGCAACAAATTTTAAATTAAATAAAATAACAGAAAAAAAGGTTGTGAAATGTCAAACTGAAATCAAACCAACGAATAGCGATTGCTAGTATTTTTGTCGATTCTGACGGCTCCTGAAGTTTTAAAATGTCAACGAATCGAGTTCAAAAAAAAAAAAAAAAAATATTCTAAGGTATTTTTCGTATAAAAAATCAGACCACAGTTCTGCGGTTCTGTCATAATGTCTAAGGTATTCGTTTTCTATAGAAATAACGGACTTCAATTATAGTATTTTTTTATAGAAAAAAAATCAGACCTCAGTTCTGAAGAATTTTTCCTATAGAAAACCAGTGAGCGGAGCAGTATAGTCGGACGGGGCCGACCATATGATACCCTATACAACTTACACGAAAATCTAACTTTCTGCGGTGTAGTTCTGAGCTTGGGCAATATTTCGCGATATTTGCATCCTCTTGATCGACTAGAGGTCAACAAATATTACTAATATTCAGTACAGCTCTTCTAATTGCTTGTCCAGATTCCCTTCTCCGTGGGTTCACCGTGATGTTCGGCTTTAAATTGTGGTCTATAGATCGACTCGAAAATAACACAAAAAACTAAGTTTACGGTCCACTTCATTCCAAAATTATTATCTAATCATCACCGAAAATTATAGGCGTTGTCCTGACCATAACTGGAACCTCATGGAACATTTCAAAGCGAGCAGCGCTATAGTTCCGCTCTCTAGAGTTATAAATAATATACGAATGTGGAGATACCTGTAAATATTTAGATGTAACTCCCACATCCGAGCACATACAACAATATAATTGGTATTAATTTAAAGGTCAACCACTCCTCTTTGATACACTATCAACTTGTCGGATCTATATCTTTCAGGGGAAAATATATACGTTATATAATAAAAATTTTGTAATTTTTCACACAAAAGTCTGGGTCCATTTGGTCCGCTAAATATTGACCGATGTTTATCAAAACAGGCATGTTATTCTTTAACCCGATCCGGTTCTCCATGTACAATTTCGCGATGTTCGGGCCATAATTGCGGCCTCTGGAGCGACCAGAAAATCAGACAAAAATAATGTTTTTGTTCCATTTCAGCCCCTAAATATTAACCGATCTTTACCACAAACAATAGGGGTCTTCATTGGCCAGAACCCATCCAACATGCAAAATTTCGTGAACATTGGTCCATAACTGTGGCCTGTATCGTGTTTACAAATTATAATGGACAGACGAACGGACACACATGTCTACATCGACTCAGCTAGTCGAGATATGACGATCGGTATATTTGAAGTTGGGTCTAGGACCAATACTTCGCGGCATTACAAACTTATGGGACTGCACAAAGTTATAATACCCTGACAACATAGTTGTGTAGGGCATAAATATTCTGAGGTATTTTTCGTATAAAAAGTCAGACCACAGTTCTTCGGTATTTTTTCTCTAGAAAAAAATCTGACATCATTTCTAAGGTATTTGTTTTCTATAGAAAAAACGGACTTCATTTTTAAGTATTTTTTTTATAGACCTCAGTTCTGACGAAATTTTTCCTATAGAATAAAATCAGACCTCACTTCTGAAGAATAATTTCTATAGAAAAAAACATGGACCTCATTCCTGAGGCATATTTGTTCTACAGACATCTGTTCATCTGAGGTATTTTTTTTTAAATAGAAAAAAATCAGATCTCAGCATACTCAGACAATTTTTTTCTATAGAATAAATTAGGTCTTAGTTATCTGGAGCATTTTTCTATAGAAAATTCAGACTTCAGTACATTTGAGGTACTTTTTCTATAGAAAAAAAATCAGATCTCAGTTGTCAGAGGAATGTTTTTCTACAGAAAAAAATATATCTCAGTTATTTGAGGATTCTTTTAATAGAAAAATTCGGACCTCAGTTCATCTGATGTATTTTAAGAATCAGAACTCAGTTATCTGAGGAATTTTTTCAATAGCAAAATTCGGACCTCAGTTCATCTGATGTATTTTCAGAATCAAACCTTTCAAAATCAGACCTCGATTCATCTGAAACCTCTGTTCATCTGATTTATTTTTTTATATAAAAAATCAAGTCTCTGTTCTGAAGCTTTTTCTTCCTCAATTTTGAGGTATTTTTTTTTTTAAAGAACAGGAACAAAAAAAAAAATCATCTGAGGTATCTTTTTCTCTAAAAAAGGCATTTTAATTTTCTATTAAAAATCAGATCACCGTATTGGTTTTCTTGTACTGAAAATTTTTGAGGAACTTTTTTCTATAAAAAATCAGACCTCAGTTATCTGGGGATTTTTTTTTACAGAAAAAAAACACACATCAGTTCATCTGAGTTTTTTTAGAGAAACAATCTTCAGCTAACTATAAAAAATAATCACACCTCAATTCTGAGGTATTTTTTTCTATACGAAAATATCTGACCTTAGTTATCTGAGATAAAAAAATAAATAAAAAAATCTGACATTAGTTATCTCACCTCGGGTCTGAGCCATTTGTTTTCTTTAGAAAAAATCAGACCTCAGTTATCTGCGACTTTTTTCTATAAAAAAACTGACATCAGTTCATCTGAGAAATTTTTTTCTGAAGCAAAAAACCTCCAGACCTCCGTAAATTGAGAGCCGATTTCTGATGTTTTTCCAACCTCAGTCTGAGTAATTTTCTTCTATAGAAAAAAATGTATTTTCTTAGTTCTCTTTTCTCTTATGCAACATTTTTTCCATTTACACAAATCGTACCCACCTAACTAATTTCAATGGAATTTTCATGGAAAATGTATATCATACCGCTTAGCGATTAATTAACTGCATACGTTATGGCCATTTAACCCACATCATTGTCGGTTGTTTTGCACGATTTGCGTTTATGATCTCGGATTCCGACAGAAATAAAAAAAACTGAACAAGTGTTTCTATATGTGGTCCCCCCATATCTTCATACCTCAAATCGACAAAGTTAAAACCACAATAAAGTTTGTTAGGAATTGTGTGTGGTTTGAAGCTGTGATGTTGTTGCAGTTGTTTCACATTACCCCCAAACAACAACAACAAAAACAATATCATCATATTTTTTTGTTTTTGTTCACATGTGATACACTTATGATGGATGGATTGATTGTTGGTCGGCCGGTCGGTCTGCCGGATGGTTGGCTCGTTGGGTGAATGTATCCCATATGATAAAGCCGACAACGTTGGTGGCTGCAGTGACGGCGGCAGCCGCCATGCATGTTGTACGTTGATGTTGTTGTTGTTACTTTACTATTATTTTCTTTTCTTAATAACCAACACTCATTTCAAGTGGACACAAAAAACACCATAGTGGACAGACATTTGTCCACCCTTCCCCCTTTTTCGACTGGGTATTTATACTTCGCTACGGCGTTGTTTTTGTAACCGGATATCATTAACTTGTAGGTAAACTGATACCTTTAGCTAAGTCATTACAACCTCTAAATCAAGTCAAAACGTTTTAAAACATTTGCATTTTGCTTCCACCGGCCTGACACTTTCCGCTCCCCGATTTTGTTCTCTGCAGAAACATTTCTTCGGCTCTGAGACATTTCCAAGATCTGGTCTATGCACTTCAATGTGTCAGCTCCCTGTTCCGCCTCTTACCATGACACGTTTTATCGACGTCGTCATCGTTTCATTTCGCCTGGTTCGTTCCATCGATCGCCACCACATCTATCTCTACTTAAGTTTTTGAAATCGTACGACATGCCGCCTTGTCGCTGCTGTGATGTGGTGGCAAAGTCGTCTTCCCATCCGTCCGACCTCGGATGTCCATCGGCTGCTGTTACTGTGATATCTTTTCAAGCTTTTCCGTTTCATTGATCTCAGGCCGCCGTTCACTCGCTCATTACTAGCTAGAAGTAAGCAGTTGGTAAGGCATATCGACAACCGCACACAACATCGTCATAGGTTCATTTGCAAGTTATCTACACTCTGCTGCGCTCACTTCAATCAATCGAGTTAACGCACTAGCCAACCGCCTATGTGTGTGTGTGTGGATCGGCAATTATTTTATATTCTGTTTTTTATTTTTTGTGTGTGATTTTTTTGCGGACTGTGCGGATTTTATTTTATTTGTATTTTTTTTTTTTGTCAGAAAGAAAAAGGTTTACAATTACATTAAACATTATGCTGCAGTTGCGGTCTATTAGATGCAAAAATCTAGCCACATAACGCCGCACACCGCTGGTAGCCACATTAAATAAAAATGACCGCTTCAATTGTTGTTGAAGTTCTTTAAACTGGCCGACCGGCCGGCGGATTGTAGTGGCAGGTCATAGATCTTTAACTGAGGTGATTCGAGTTATATTTTATTATGAAGAATTGAGAATGAGATCCAATATTTTGTAGAAAAAATGTTTCCGATGAGGTAGATTTTTTTTCAGATTAACATTAAAAAACAGTGCCTTGGGGTCGATTTTATTTTTTCTATATAGAAAATATATCTCTGTTGAACTGAGTTCGACCTTAGTTCATCTGAGGTCTTTTTTTCTATAGAAAAAAAAAAATCCTTTCAATCCTTTAAATTTTTTTATCGAAAAACTTCTCTCTGATGAAGTGAGGTCGGATTTTTTTTTCTATAAAAAAAATGTACCTCATAAGAACTGAGGTAGAATTTTTTTCTATAAAAAAGAACCTCGAATTTTTTCGATAGAAAAAAATGCCTCAAATGAACTAAGGTTAAGTTTTTCTTTTTCTATAATAAAATGCTTCAGATGAGTTGGTTTTTTTCTAAAGAACTTCGTTTTTTTCCGTATAAAAATTTGACCAAAAAAGTACCTCAAATGAAATGAGGTCGAAACTTTTTCTATAGAAAAAATTGTCTGAGATGAACTGAGATTCGAATTTGTTTCTATAGAAAAAATGTACCTCAGATGAACTGAGGTCGGAACTTTTTCTACAGAAAAATTTGTCTGAGATGAACTGAGATTCGAATTTGTTTCTATAGAAAAAATTTACCTCAGATGCAGTGAGGTCAGAAG